AGCGTTGCTCCTTAAAGCTGTTTCCTATGCTGTCCCTCACACATCCTGTGGACCTGGAACATTTTTTCTAGGATTCTGTGTCATAAACAAGACAGTTGTGGTAAACAAACAAGTAATCAGTTATCTGACTGTGCAAGAAGCATTTTAAAGTCGCCTCAGTCCTACATTCAAAGCAGACTCCTGAATTTTATCACTAATGTTATTAATTAAGGAGACATCATTCTGGTAGGAAATTATTTTTGTCTTTGAAAAACACTGTACTTACTTTACTTTTGAAAAAAGACAAAGTTTAGGTGACATCTCAAGTACAACATTTCTCCACCTCTGATAACTTGCTTTTCTTTTGTGTTCAGAGTCCTGATTGCATCTGGTTAAATATTTATCATGTGATGTTTATCTCTGAAGGAAACAACATCAAGTTCAAATTCTGCTGCCTTCACATTTGGCCAAACTTTCGTAAATACCCTGAAAACAAACAAAGCTCCTATAAAGACTTCTTATTAAGATGCTTTAACAATACGTATTTATAGGCTAAAATTGATTGTAGTCTACTATATTAGCAAAGATCATTGTCAAGGCAGTTGCACTATCCTTTATGGTAGTGGTCCCCAACCACCGGGCCACGGACCGGTACGGTCCTTCGGTCATTTGGTACTGGGCCGCAAAAAAAATAAATAAATAAAATGTATATATATATATATATATATATATATATATATATATATATATATAAAACATCACTCAGACTCTGATCATATGGACCTCTCCTGGATTAATATACACTATATTGCCAAAAGTATTTGCTCACCCATCCAAATTATTGGAATCAGGTGTTCCAATCACTTCCATGGCCACAGGTGTATAAATTCAAGCACCTAGGCATGCAGACTGTTTTTACAAACATTTGTGAAAGAATGGGTCGCTCTCAGGAGCTCAGTGAATTCCAGCGTGGAACTGTGATAGGATGCCACCTGTGCAACAAATCCAGTCGTGAAATTTCCTCGCTCCTAAATATTCCACAGTCAACTGTCAGCTGTATTATAAGAAAATGGAAGTGTTTGGGAACGACAGCAACTCAGCCACGAAGTGGTAGGCCACGTAAACTGACGGAGCGGGGTCAGCGGATGCTGACGCGCATAGTGCGAAGAGGTCGCCAACTTTCTGCAGAGTCAATCACTACAGACCTCCAAACTTCATGTGGCCTTCAGATTAGCTCAAGAACAGTGCGCAGAGAGCTTCATGGAATGGGTTTCCATGGTCGAGCAGCTGCATCCAAGCCATACATCACCAAGTGCAATGCAAAGCGTCGGATGCGGTGGTGTAAAGCACGCCGCCACTGGACTCTAGAGCAGTGGAGACGCGTTCTCTGGAGTGACGAATCGCGCTTCTCCATCTGGCAATCTGATGGACGGGTCTGGGTTTGGCGGTTGCCAGGAGAACGGTACTTGTCTGACTGCATTGTGCCAAGTGTAAAGTTTGGTGGAGGGGGGATTATGGTGTGAGGTTGTTTTTCAGGAGCTGGGCTTGGCCCCTTAGTTCCAGTGAAAGGAACTCTGAATGCTTCAGCATACCAAGACATTTTGGACAATTCCATGCTCCCAACTTTGTGGGAACAGTTTGGAGCTGGCCCCTTCCTCTTCCAACATGACTGTGCACCAGTGCACAAAGCAAGGTCCATAAAGACATGGATGACAGAGTCTGGTGTGGATGAACTTGACTGGCCTGCACAGAGTCCTGACCTCAACCCGATAGAACACCTTTGGGATGAATTAGAGCGGAGACTGAGAGCCAGGCCTTCTCGTCCAACATCAGTGTGCGACCTCACAAATGCGCCTCTGGAAGAATGGTCAAAAATTCCCATAAACACACTCCTAAACCTTGTGGACAGCCTTCCCAGAAGAGTTGAAGCTGTTCTAGCTGCAAAGGGTGGACCGACGTCATATTGAACCCTATGGATTAGGAACGGGATGTCACTTAAGCTCATATGTGAGTCAAGGCAGGTGAGCAAATACTTTTGGCAATATAGTGTATATATATATATATATATATATATATATATATATATATATATATATATATATATATATATATATATATATATATATATATATATATATATATATATATATATAATTTAGCAATGATCAGAGTCTGAGTGATGTTTTATTTTGAAAAATATAAAAAATTGCGGTATTCTCTCCCAGTTACATCAGTCGGTGCATCTGTGCCTCTTGACACAGGTTAATTCAGTTCAAGACTCATCCCATCTGTAACATCCTATCTTTGTGAAGCGGGATTTTCTGTGGTTACAGCGACGAAAACAAAGCTACGGAGCAGACTGGACATCAGGAGCACACTTCGTGTGTCATTGTCTCCGATTACGCCTAGGGACCGGTTTGTTGTTTTATTTTTATGCTGTTTCTATTTCATTTTACTTGATGCATTGACTTCCATGCCCTAAACCCTAAATATTGCCAGCACATACGTAACCCTAAACCTTACCTAAACCCAATTCACAGTGTAGTCCTAAGCCGAACTCCCACCCCAAGAACAGATCTTTTCCTCATAGGGACCCTGAAAACTGCCCCCACAGATTAAGAATGGCCATGACCACCCAACAAAACCAAGAAAGAAGCTTCTCATCTGTGCTTTTCCATCAGGTTTTCCAACCATTTACAGACTAGTGATTACATAGGTTTAAATTGATGTAGCTCTTAAGCATCAAACTTTGTATTGCTGCATTTGACATCATGTATATATTTTGCCTCTTTTCCTTTTACTTATCTGTAATAATATAATCTGTGTCTTGTTCTATACAAATAAACTTACCTTTCCTGTACTTCCGTCATGCCCACAGTAACAGTGATTTCAACTTGAACTGTCACAAGCAACTCTGTGAGGAACAGCTGTCACAGTTTCTTTGCAATATTTTGGCTCCTGCACACATTTAAAGCAATTCAGATTGTTCCTCACGAGCTGCTTTTCTCCTCTTGTCTGCTCTACTTAGCCACACCTACTGAGCTTCATGCATATTATGCACCATTCAGAACAACTGAAAAGACAAAAGGCAATTATTCTTTCATTTCATACGAACTTGCTTATCACATTTTTCCCACAATGAAGGCACAAAAAAATAAGGACGCACAGACACCAGGTAATTGTTCATTTTATGCAGTGCAGACAGAGGAACAAACGGAAGCGCACAGTGGTTCATCTAGCCATTACTGTCATTCTTATTCCACATTCAGCCCTGCCTGTAATTACCCGCTCTGCTTCTGATAGGCTCCACTCTCTCTCTCTGAATTCTTTCCATTGCTAACTGGAAGATAAACACAGAATGAGGCAAAATATGGAGCTCATGTATTAGAGCAGTAGAAAGGCTTTGAAGCCATCCATATAATATTGATGAGGTGAGCTCATAGAGATTAACTCCAGAAATCTCATTCCTTTTCTTTATTTTGGGTCATTAAGGTCAAATCCTGTAAAGCTTGACTATTAGTCAGCATTTTCCAGTTGCTTGATCAGCCAACATAACACAGAAGAAAGCATGAATGTCTGATAACTGACATCACATTAAGCTGAGCATAACACTTCCTCTAACCGTAGAAATGTTTTTTAGAGCTCTATATGAAGTAAACTTGCTTACACTCTCTAAACAGTTTACATTGTTGTGAAAAGGTTCCTTCCCCATTGCATGTTGACTCTGTTTAAGCTTTTTTTTGTTATACTGAGATGTTTCAGATTACCAAGCAGCTTTTAAAATCAAAACTATCCAGAGTAAAATCCGTCAGGAAAGATTACAGAACCGTTCCTGAGACTTTTTGAAGTAAAATGTAACATAGAACAGTAGTGAACCTTTCCAGAAGGAACAAACCTATCAAAATTGCTCAAAGAGGACATTTAAGATTAATCCAGGAGAGGCCCAGACCAAGAAATAAAATTGTTGTTCTGATCTTAAAGGTATAGTGGAGGATGTTCCTTTTCCGAGTGGATCATCTAAATAAGTGGTCCTCCTAATTGTTAATCATTCTGGTGATATGTTTACGTAAGGCTGTCCTGCGTGATCATCCCCATTTTCACTTACTAGTGGTGAGTCTTGTGAAAAAAATAGCAAATCTTCTTTTGGAAAGTAAGCTTTTATGAGCGATGCAAACAGCAACTTTTCAAACAGAGCGTGCACAAGGAGAACTAGACTTGTGCACGCTCTCGCAGGCGTTTAATAGGCGTTCTGTTAGGATTCCAGTTTGTGTGACTTGTTTTTTTGTGTTTTCTTCTCTCCACCACCAGGCGGTGCCCTATTTTGGCCTCCCTGCACACCTGCGGCTCGTTGGGTCATTACCAGAGGAGTACTTGAGCAGCGGGCTGTCACCACCTCGATGCCAGACTGTTTGCCAGTATTGGGTACTCTAGCCAAACTGAGATTATCAGAGTCTAACCTTAGCATTGATTCTCTTAGTCTGAACTTGTTTTTTGTCTTTATTCTTCGGCAGGAAGACTTCCTGTGTTACTGGATAAGCCTGGACCTTCTACCCCTGGAAGGATTTACTGACTCCACATGATCAAGTCCACTCCTGGAAAACCAAGTGACAGTCTACTCCTTTAGTCCTCTGGTTCCAACATGTCTGCCTGTCTGCTCTTCAATGAGTTCCCTCTTCTTTGGATTAAACCCCCACAAACTGGATCCAAGGATAAACCAAGAGCCCCCGAAAAGTGAGTTCCTCTCCAGCAATATTCAAGCCTCAGTCTATTTTCCCAGTGTCCCTGAACTGATCACTGTGATCTCCCCTTCAGAGTTTCCGGTTCCAGTTCACAAGTCCGCTGAGTTCCAGCATTGTTTCCAATTTCAATCTTCATCAGTGTTTACTAACCTACAATAAACCTGTTAAACTTTTACCCTTGGTCCCTGAGTGTTTCTCTGCATGTGGGTCAGATCTTTAAAGCCCATTATGACACGTTCCCTCTCAGGAGCGGGTACAGGGTTGTGCATGTGCATTTTTTTTTTTTCTAAGTGGATAGGTCGGGTCTTTTCAAAAAGTTGCATCAAAACTTGCAAAAATAAAAAGGAAAACATTTAGAATTCCTTTAAACTATGACATTCAGGTCTCTAATCAGCAAAATAGCCCCAGGCCATCATACCACCACAGTTGTTAATTGTCAAGATGTTTTTAATTTTTCTTATGTTCTGCTTTTTATCTAAATATTTTCTTTAAAGTTTTGGCTTGAAACTCTTTAAGATCAACCATGCTTGAAAGGTATCCAAAAGGCCCATTGGTGGGCCAGCTCTACATAGCTCTGAAAAAATATACAATTTGGACGGGTCTAGTCAAAATTTGGACTTAAATCTGAATAGCATGTTGTTAAACAAACCATCTGTGCACATAAAACCTGCAGAGATGTCTGCAAGCAGAATAGACAATAATCCTTTCACAGCAATGTAAAAGACTCACTGCTGGTGATGCCAAACACCTAGTAACAGTTGTTGCTGCTGTGTTGGTAACTATTTATCAGGAGTTGAAGGCTTTTAATTTTTATTTTGGACATAACTGGTTCAGAAAGCTTTTCTGTGAATACATTAAATGATTCCTTAAAGACTCACTTTGATATTTACAAAGATTTTCCTTATCTAATCATATTATTGAGGTGTTATAACAAAAAGCAACACAGGAAAAATCTGTATACCACATCTTGTCTTTGCCTGTCCCAGCAGTCTATAGAACGTTTCATTGGGTTTGTTATCATCAGATCGAGAAATAACTCGTTTACGCATTGTACTTCTTTAGCAGGTCGTTCTGCCAGTGCCTCTTGCGGTCAGGAAACGCTGCGGGCAAGCGGATCTTTTTGAAGTCTTCAATACATTTTTTCAGATCCTCTTCCAGCATCTTCTTCTCGTCCTCATCTTCATCCACCCGATGTGGAGGGCCACCATTCTCCCTGGCGGTGGACCGTGGCAGCGTCTTTATATTGAGGGTGGTGGGACGTTGGGGGCTGTCTCTGAGGGGAGGCATTGGGGGAGGAGGAGGAGGAGGACTCGAGGTAGAAGCAGATTTGGTTGAAAGCGGAGGGGGAGGAAGGATAGGGGGTGATGGAAGTGGAAGGTCAGGAATGTCTGCAGAAAGAAGAAGAGGAGGTGGAGGAGGAGGGATTGGATGTTGAAGATCCAGAGTAGAGCAGCAGCTGGTTTCTGGAAGGCTCTTGGTTCTGCCAGTGCTGCTGAGTTCCACATTGGTCGATTCAGAGAGAGGAGCAGAAGGTTTGAAAGGAAGCACTTCCTCAGGAGCTGGTAGATCTGTGGTCACTGCCTCAGAAATGGAAGGTGAATTTCCTGTGGATGACAAAAAAACTATTGAAATAAACATTGTAAAAGTTTATATTTCTTTCTAACATCACCAAGAGAGACAGAAAAGAAATGTTTGAACTCATATAATTGAAATTGTATAGCTGTAACAAATGAAAAAAAAATTATATATATATACACTATATTGCCAAAAGTATTTGCTCACCCATCCAAATTATTGGAATCAGGTGTTCCAATCACTTCCATGGCCACAGGTGTATAAATTCAAGCACCTAGGCATGCAGACTGTTTTTACAAACATTTGTGAAAGAATGGGTCGCTCTCAGGAGCTCAGTGAATTCCAGCGTGGAACTGTGATAGGATGCCACCTGTGCAACAAATCCAGTCGTGAAATTTCCTCGCTCCTAAATATTCCACAGTCAACTGTCAGCTGTATTATAAGAAAATGGAAGTGTTTGGGAACGACAGCAACTCAGCCACGAAGTGGTAGGCCACGTAAACTGACGGAGCGGGGTCAGCGGATGCTGACGCGCATAGTGCGAAGAGGTCGCCAACTTTCTGCAGAGTCAATCACTACAGACCTCCAAACTTCATGTGGCCTTCAGATTAGCTCAAGAACAGTGCGCAGAGAGCTTCATGGAATGGGTTTCCATGGTCGAGCAGCTGCATCCAAGCCATACATCACCAAGTGCAATGCAAAGCGTCGGATGCGGTGGTGTAAAGCACGCCGCCACTGGACTCTAGAGCAGTGGAGACGCGTTCTCTGGAGTGACGAATCGCGCTTCTCCATCTGGCAATCTGATGGACGGGTCTGGGTTTGGCGGTTGCTAGGAGAACGGTACTTGTCTGACTGCATTGTGCCAAGTGTAAAGTTTGTTGGAGGGGGGATTATGGTGTGGGGTTGTTTTTCAGGAGCTGGGCTTGGCCCCTTAGTTCCAGTGAAAGGAACTCTGAATGCTTCAGCATACCAAGACATTTTGGACAATTCCATGCTCCCAACTTTGTGGGAACAGTTTGGAGCTGGCCCCTTCCTCTTCCAACATGACTGTGCACCAGTGCACAAAGCAAGGTCCATAAAGACATGGATGACAGAGTCTGGTGTGGATGAACTTGACTGGCCTGCACAGAGTCCTGACCTCAACCCGATAGAACACCTTTGGGATGAATTAGAGCGGAGACTGAGAGCCAGGCCTTCTCGTCCAACATCAGTGTGCAACCTCACAAATGCGCTTCTGGAAGAATGGTCAAAAATTCCCATAAACACACTCCTAAACCTTGTGGACAGCCTTCCCAGAAGAGTTGAAGCTGTTCTAGCTGCAAAGGGTGGACCGACGTCATATTGAACCCTATGGATTAGGAACGGGATGTCACTTAAGCTCATATGTGAGTCAAGGCAGGTGAGCAAATACTTTTGGCAATATAGTGTATATAATATAATATAATATGCAGACATATTGAATATGAATCCATCTACAGACTATCTTATCTGAGAGACACTGTCTGAGGCTCTCTTATCAACCCATATTCCTCCTTTAAATATTTAACACATGTTTAGATACAGCAGCATTTTATATGAGATCTTTATGTTAATGGCTTTAGACCCTAAGTTAGTTATTAATATAATATAAGACCAACATAAGTAGACAGTAAAACGTCTTCCTTTCACCGGGCAGAAACCCAAATATAAATGGGAGTGGTCAGTTGGGTTTCAGGATGTTTTCTTTAGACATTGTCTAGAATTGAGAGAAAAAGTTTCTACGGCTCAGAAAACATTAAAAAGGTTCAGTCTTGCAGTTAAACCTGTGTAAGGACTTGCTCTACGCTCCTTTACTGTAGTACTTCAGGGTGACAGCAAGCTTGGGAGTTTTCAAATAATGGGAAAACTTTTCTATCATCATTAAAAACCATCAGACCCAGCAATCAAATCAATAGATGTAAAATAGCTAGATGCAGAGTTGCGTGAATTTTTACATCAGCAATGCTGCTATTTTGGAGCAAAGATTTTCAGTATGCTCAGGCTGAACAGCTGATCTGCTTTGTGGTAATTGCTTTAGATTGCATAGTAAAACTTTTAAATTTATCATGTTGAATAGGAAGTATTCATTTTCTCTCAAATTATGTTCTATTATCATCACACCCTGAATATCATAAACTCTCAACAGATCAGATCTGGATTATATGTTATTAATGTTGTTAACCTGCATTACTAGACTGCACTGCTGTACAAAATAATGTTAAGGTCACATACATAAATCAATACATCTTGATTTAACATATCTATTTGGTCACATTATATTTCTATGGGTACCATGACTTTATGTCCAGGACTGTTTTTGAACTTATTCTTTATAAGCATGGTTGAAAAGTAACGTCTGACTTTTATTTGCTCATTTCCATAGAGTTTTTATGTATTGGTATATTTGTCAGATTCAATCATTTTTTTGACCATTGTGGGTTTTTCCTTCATTAAATAAGAGGTACTAATAAATAATAATAAAAAAATAATAAAAGTGAAGAAAATATCAAATAATTGCTGGCTGGCTACCATCTTAACCTTCATCTTCCTGTTACTGTGTGAGAACTAAAGTGAGCACATGGTACTGAAAGAGTGTGTTAAAATAGTGTGTTGGATCATAATGGTGATAAAAAAGCATCACAGCGTGTGGAAATAGCATATCAAGTACACTAGGAGTAAAAGACAAATTCATTTTTTTTCAGACTCATCACTTTTTGCTTGTGTGCCTATCAGAAAGAAACAGTAGCGGCACAATTGGGATGAAAGCTGCTGAATAAAACTTAAAAAAATTTTCATTACATGTTTATTTTTCATTCATCCCACTGTGAACCTGCAGGTCGCTGATGGGGTCTCTTCAGGCAGAGGAGGTTGTCTACATTCTGCACCTCAAGATATTTGAAAACCAAACTTCATGTTGCCTCTGACTTCCCGAGAGACTCTGGGGACTAATAACATTCTCTCTTCTTGTATATGTTTTACTTCTTTAAGGGTGAAACACCTCAGAGTAGATCCATAGGTCAGAGCATACTTTCCATTTGTCACTTTTAAAGAAGAAATTTCAGGATAGTTCTTTTATATTATTTCTATCCAAAGACGGGTGTCTTATGCATGGAAACAGCAGCGTATACAGCAGTCCTACTCATGTGCTCTGTGTACTAAAGGTTACTGTAGGGACGAGGATAACCAATTATTTTACTCTAATGTGAGATTTGTCAAGCATTTCCATCAATTTACCGCCTTGCAAAATGTTTTAACCACAAGATTTTGTTTACACATATAAGCATATTTCCTATCTTAAATTTCAATCTTTTGTTTTTATTACTGGGATTATGCATCATTGATTAAAAAAAATAGTGCTTCATTTTTCTAAGGGGGAAAAAAGGAAATATGGCTTTTAATTGTTTTTTACAAATACATTGCATCTTTAAAATTTAGATCTCATTTTTATTCAGTTAGTTGGATCAACTTAATTCAATTACTTGCTACCAATTGAGGCAATTCCTTTAAGTTGTAGCAGTATTTCTTTTTGGAGTGATATTGTGTTTGTTTTTCTACAGTGCCTTGAAAAAGTATTCAAACCCCTTGAACTTTTTTTACTTTTTGCCACATTTCAGGCTTTAAACATAAAGATATGATTAAAGCTGAAGTCTGTAAGTTTTTAAAAATCACTTTTTTGTCATATTGGCTAAAACTGTCCCTATGCCCAGACAGCAGTACATGTGATATGTAACCTGTGAAAAAAACTGCTTCAATTGGTACCGCCTACTGCCTGTATTTCAATCTGGAAAGAATAATTCGGGACGAGTCAAAACAACCAATCACAGCCAGAGGAGCGTCTGATGGAGTGTCAATCACAGCTCACACACGCCTTCTGGTTGCATGTGGTAGCCGCGCAGATGCTGTGAGAGGGGTGGAGCTTGGAGGTGGGGAATGAGTGAAGCAGAGAGGGTGGGGGAGTGGCGTGAAACCTGTTTTTCTTCAAATTTTCAGTCGAAGTCTGCTCTCTCCTCAATGTTACAGACTGCAGCTTTAATGATGAAAGATAAGTGGGATCACAATCATATTTTGAACTGTTATAACAAATAATAAAACTGATAAATTGGGTTTGCAACATTATTTAGCCCCCTTGGGTTAATACATTGTAGCGCCACCTTTTACAGTTGCAAGTCACTTGGGGTACTCGGGTCTCTATCGGTTTTGCACATCGAGAGATGGAAATTTTTGTCCATTCATCCTGCAAAACAGGTGGAGCTCAGTGAGGTTGGATCAGGCTGGGACTGGGAACGATTTTCAGCCCTGGCATTTTTCCATCTAAACCGGCCCACTTATGCATTTGGCCCATTTGGTACCATTCACCTTCCCATCAATTTTAACCATCTTCCCTGTTCCTGCTGAGGAAACACAAGCCCAAACCATGATGCTGCCACCACCATGCTTGATAGTGGGGATGGTCTGATCAGGGTGAAGAACTGTGTTGCTTTTACACCAAAGATAACATTTTGAATTTTTGCTAAAAAGTTTGATTTTGGTTTTATCTGACCAGAGCACCTTCTTCCACATATTTGCTGTGTCTCCCAGGTGGCTTGTGGCAAACTTTAAAGCAGACATTTTATGGATATCTTTAAAAAATGGCTTTCTGCTATAAAGGTCAGATATTTGCTGACTACAATGATTGTTGTCCTATGGACAGAGTCTCCCACCTCAGCTGTAGATCTCTACAGTTCACCCAGAGTGATCATTGGCCTCTTGGCTGCAACTGTGATCAGTTTTCTCCTTACTTGAGCTCAAAGTTTAGAGGGACGGCTGGGTCTTCATAGACTTGTTATAATATCCCTTCTATTTCAATATTATCGCTTGAACAGTGCTCAGTGGGATGTTTAAAACTTGGGAACTTTTTTTGTTTACCAAAATCAGAGATCTTCAATGGACTTCTAGATAGAGATAGCTGTACTGAAAGTAAAGGGGCTTCCATTTTTTTATTTGATAAAAATGTTTAAAATATCCAATTAAT